TGAATACGCAACGTGTGTGTATATATATGTCTCTATTTCTCGTTATCTTGCATTAGGATCTAGAAATAATATTAGAAGATAAATTCTCATATATTCTCTACGTTAATAACAATTATTCCTATCATATTATAAATGTGGTCACGCGAAATACCATTTTCTCATGTGCCATTAACCCAGAATAAGTTGAAGGGGAGAGGGAGGGATGTCACGCGTAGTGGGTTGAAAAAACGTTTGATCTTTTTCTTTTTTTGAATTTTTATTTTGTTCTTTTTTTCCTTTTCACCTTCCTTCCTTCCTCCTTTCGTTTCTTTCCTTCGTTTCTTACTGGCTGACTGACTGACTCATTTCTTGTACCTTGCCGAGGATGGAATTTTAAGACACGAAACGAGATTTAACCTTGAGGTGCTACGTCGACTCTCCCTTGACCGGAGCTCTCGTAGTATAGAGTTTCTCTCTCTCTCTCTCTCTCTCTCTCTCTACCTACCTATGGGTTAGAACGGAGAAGGGAAGACGAGAAAAAAAGAAGAGGTGGTGCTGAAGGAGGGGGTAAGAGTGGTGGTGGTGGCGATGGCGGTGGTACGTTGAGAGGGTTCGACTTGGCCTCGAGGGAGACCACGACTGTATGACGTACATCCTCTCTTCCCTCTTCTTTTCTCTTCTCTCTCTCTCTCTCTCTCTCTCTCTCTTTCTCTCTTCTCTCTCTCTTTCTCTTCTTCTTCTTCTTTCTTCTTATTTCTTTCTCTTCTTTGTATCTTCTTCTTTCTTGTTTCTTCTTCTTCTTTCTTCTGTGTTATACAACTCGTTTATAAATTCTCCGCTAGATTAGCGACTCGATCGATCTGCCTTATTCCAGGAAGTGTAATCGATCGGACGACGTAATTGCGCGATGAACCTTTTCGTGTAACGATCACAGTGGGATAAAAAAAGAAATGAGAGGATTGGGGAGGGGGGTGAGGAGGAGGTGGGTAAAAAGGAGAAAGAGAGAGAGAAAGAAGGCACGTATCGTCTCGACGAGATGAGAATTCTGGGTTGCGTTGTCGTCGTCGTCGTCGTCGTCGTCGTCGTCGTCGTCGTCCTCGTCCTCGTCGTCGTGATCGTCGTCGTCGGCATCGTGAAATAAGAGAGCTTGGGCGCAAGGTCGAATCGGGGCCAGGGGAAAGATAAAAAGAGAAAGAGAGGGAGAGAGAAAAGGAGAGAGATCGTTAAAGCTATATTTCTCTCTCTCTCTCTCTCTCTCTCTCTCTCTCTCTCTCTCTCTCTCTCTCGAAACTCTTCGTAGCCATGCGAAAAGAGCATCGAAGAGTTGCATCCTTTCGAAAGGTGCATTCAGAAAAAGAAAGAGAAAGAGAGAGAAAAAGAAAGAGATAGCTTCTCGACCTCTTCCACTTCTACTTCTTCTACTTTGTCTTCTTTTTATTTATTTTTTTTTTGTTTCATTTTCTTTTTCTTTTATTCTTTTTTTTTTTATTTTTTGTATCACGATCGATCGGATCTCGTGGGCGGTCAGGATCCGGTCCGTTGGAGAAAACGATTCGTCGAAAGCGAGATCCACGAAAAAGAAGAAGAAGAAGAAGAAGATGTAGAAGAAGAAAGGAAAAAAGAAACAGCTATCCTCTCTCTTTCTCTACGTTCTTTCATCTCGTGTTCTCGCTCGTGTACGATTTCTGGAGAACTTAAATTTTCACTCGATTTACGTAGCTTCCTTTATATATATATATTAAAAATTATATGAAATCGGCAAAAAAAAAAGTATGACGATCTGACATCACAATGCTATGATAAAACTTATCATCGCGTAAAAAGCAACTGTCATCTTCATCGATTACTATCGTAGATAGTAATAATAAACCCTTTAATGCGATTGCATTATCTACTAGCGACGCATTGATTTCCAAGAGAAAATTGTCTTATCATTTTCTTTCTCTCTTTTTCTTTTTTCAATATTTTTTTTCATTTCTTTTTTTTTTTTTTTTTTTTTTCTTCTCATACTGATCGTTAGATAAAAACGTAAAGCATACTTCGTGTCGAATAAAATTTTATGCGTTCGTTGTCGCAGCCATCATTTTGTCCATACGCACGTGCATATAAATATGTTGTATATATATATATATATATATCGTTTACAGCACGATAGTGTTTCATGGGTTACGATTGGACTTTCGAAAAACGAAAGCGTTTGTCGGACGAAATAAAATCAAATGCAATAAATAAATTAATAAATGAATATTAAACAAAAAAGAAAAAAAAAAAAGATAAAAGAGAAGATAGAATGCTAGCTCGATCGTGTTACGATAATAGCACCTCGTGTAAATACGATCGTTTCGTGCCACTATCGTTCAGCAGTGGAATATCACCGACGTTTTCAGGCTATCACCAGTTCCGCTTTAACTTTAATCCCTGAAAAGCACGATAGCGGATACCCCTTTTTATCCGAGCCAGGCCTGTTACACCAAACGACCGTATATCTCGTGAAACAAGAGAGAGAGAGAGAGAGAGAGAGGATCAAAGCTCTCGTCAGTATCCGTTACCGATTACAACGACTTTATGCCGCCATTGCCATCGCCGTTATAAGGCGTCCGATCTGGCATCGAATAACGCGAAAAGTACTTAGTTACTTACTTTCGACGTCGTTGGATTTACTAAAATCTACTATCTCGTTGTTTACGTCGTCTTTTTTTTTCTTTTTCTTTTTTTGTTTCTCTTTTTTCTTTTACTTTTTTGTTTTTTTTCTTTTTTTCCCATATACAAGAGATTAGGTCAAATTGATACACTGAAATTATTCGGACACTGTGCAAGTGTGTATAGGTAACACGATTGGTGATTAGATGTTTAAAATTTATTGTTTATTTATTTCTTTATTTATTTATTTAATTAATTTATCACGATAGATCATCGTACGTTTTTCTGTAACGTGACAATAGCAATTTTTATTTAATCACTTTCGTTCTTATTAAGAGAAGAAAATAAATATTCCTGTCGTTGCTTCCACGAGATTCCATATAAAGCTATATCTCGAACTAGTTTGAGTTATTTCAAAAAATTAAATAATTTTAATCTTGTTATTTTGTTCATGCATTCCACATTCTTTTTTTTTTTTTTTTCTTTATTTTTCCAATTTTTTTTATTCAATCTTTTTTACGCAGATATTTTCATATTAATGACATCCTCTGGGAGGGAGGGAGGGATAGGGGGCGGTAGATTGATTGCGTTTTCTCTGGGGGAGCATATTGATAAAGCTTATCAATTAAGAAGAAAAAAATAAAGAGAGAAGTGAAGGCCAATGATAGGTAGCAGTAAAAAAAAAAGTATGAAGAAGAAAATCAATTTAAAAAAAAATAAAAAATAAAAAATCCAATGATAACCTGCACGTTACTGAATGTACGATGAAAATGATTTATTATCGAAATTCGTGCCCGACGAAATGGAATTAATTAAACGAATATCTTTTTAAAGGCAAACAAAGATTCTCATAAAATTCGACAAATTTAATAATTATTATTAATCATACGTGCATTAATCGTCAAGTCATATTTGTGAAAGAGATTAGTTTTATGAGCGCTTTTTTTTTTTTTTTCTTTTTTTTTTTTTTTTTTTTTTAATTAAATTGAAATAAATATGTTACACTTATTTGTAAATACATAATGTTCTTTATGCCACAAGAAAGTTTATTATCGAGAAATATTAGCACATCTTCGAGTTGTTTGCAAAGTGCATTGTAAACAGTTTTTTTTTTTTTTTTCTTTTTACTTGTGACGTTTCGATAAATAAATGAATATTTATATAGTAGTGTTAATTTGCAATCAAAGTCATACGTAATAAAAATAAAAAAAAAAAAAAAAAAAATAAGAAAAAGGAAAAGAAAAATTTGCTGTTACTCGTATCAATCGCGAGATAATTCATGCTACATTCTATACAAATATATTATTTACGAATCAAAGACATCGTTTATTTTGACGAGTCGAAGGTCACTGATCTTCTTCGACGTAATCGACTACAGAATAATTACGTAATGCGACGATTGTTTTTCAAAATCGTAAAGACATGAAAAAATCAATTTACTTTGCCTTAATACTGAAGACATCAATTATCTCGTAAACGGCACAATAGTAATACCTTTTTTCCTCTTTCTTTTTTTTTTTCAACTAGATACGATTTATCGCTGTTGTATGAATATGTATGAAAATGGCTGTTCATTAAAAAAAGAAAAATGTTGACCTTTGTAATTCGAAAAGGTCACGAATAAATGAAAAGAAAAAAAAAAAGGAATTTTTACGTGCACTCTATTGTAAATTGGCTTAGAAACGTGACAAATTTCTCTAAATAAATGTTCTCGTACGTCTGTGTATGATGTAAAATACATATTCACGTGATCTCTCGGACACGTGATTCTTTCAAAAACATGCCACATTATTTCCAATTTTTTTTACATTCTCATTAATTCGTATCTATCTTTATTTTTCTTTCTTTTTTTTCTTTTTTTTTTTTTTCTTTTTTTTTCTTCGCGCGTATAATAAAAAAATAACGTATTATAAATGTCAAGATTATTATCTTATTGATCAGTTCAATAATATATATAAAATATCAGCGATTCAAAAAATTCTTATTCGCGTTGAATATTAAAAATGTCAAAGCTATTTATTCGCTTCATTGTTTATCAAGATTCATCGGATTAACAATTCAATGTCGGATTCATTTAAATATCACATGGGCATTATCATTTCCGTTCTAGTTATTCTTTTTTCTTTCTTTCTTTTTTTCCTTTATCTTTTTCTTTGTCCCTCAGTCTAGCATAGAATATAGATATCAAATCAATTTTGAATCGTCCTATCTAATCGATTTTCAACAGGCAATCACACTTTCGATTTGGTCGCGAAAAATTACCTACAAGTTTTCGAAAGTGTGTCTCGGACCGTGAAATTATTTTAGAAAGTCCTCAACTACGATAATAATATAAATCGAAATATTTCTTACAAAACTCGTGAATTTGTATTGGCTTTTTTCCTTTTTCCTTTCCTTTTTTCTTTTCTTAATTTTTCTTTCTTAAAGTAAATGTTAGATTGTCAATTGAATCTAATGAATCCTCTTTCGAACATAGCTTCGCTGAAAAGAGAATACTGAAAAAAAAAAAAGAAAAAATAACATGTTCCTCATTCGGATATATGTATGTATAAAAATATTAGAAAAAATTCTACCACGATAAAACGATACATACGTAGTTTATACGCATAATCTATCTAATATAAAAACACGTTGACTTTCTTCTCGGTGATCACATTTACATAGTACTTTATTATTTTTTTCGTTCGATCGGTCACGTAGTTATATGCGCCACTTGAACTCAACGATCCCGTGTATGTAGGTACGTTGGTAAATATAGAACCAGGAGTGCCTATAAAGTAATGGCTATACAATAAAGTTATCGATCGTTCCACAAAAGAGAGAGAGAGAGTGAGAGAGAGAGAGACAAGGGACAAAGATAGAAAAGCTCTCTCTCTTTCTCTGTCTTTCTCTCGTACATACGTACTGACACATGCACACATACGCGCGCGTAGACACACAGAGACAAGAACAAACACGCACGCACTGACACTGACACATTGTATTTCCCGATCACATTATTTACGCGCGCTCGACGCGACAGTTTCTAGATTCCACACAGCACTCATACATATACATAACACATATATACGCCCATCGTCCATCGATCGAGGAAGAAACGAATCCCTTAGTCGTTTTAAACGAATACATTACCGACGTAATTATGCGACAGTATTATAACGAAGCTGAACGACGAAGGACGTTGAAATTGTAAAGGAGACGTTTTTCTTTTTCTTTCTTTCTTACTTTCTTTCGAAGAAAGAGGGGAGAGCCTTCTTTTTTTTTTTTCTTTGTTCTTTTCTTTTCTTTTCTATTATATTCATATGTATATGTATTGTTGTCGAAGAAGAAAAAGATTCAAAGTTGGAGATTTTCGTTGATATGATGTTGATACCGAAGAAGAAACCTATTCCTCGGTTAAATTCGATAACTCTCGCGAATATTCGGTTATACTCGTGAACGTTCGTGAGACCTTCTCAAAGCGCGAAATGATCGACGGGTGTGTTCTACGATACCGTAAGTCTCATCGCGAATTCGACACGGCCACGTGCTCTTTCCTTATTTTTTTCTTTTCTTCCTCTATCTCTCTCTCTCTCTCTCTTTCCCCATCATTTTACCTTCTATTCTACCCTTCATTCTTATTCTCTTTTCGATTGATCCTATTTTCTTTTTGTTCTTTCTTTTCCTTTCTTGTGTCGAGTGATGTACGTGAAAAAGAAGGTTAGAAAATATAGATCGTAGATGTTAGTGAATTATTTTCTTGTGTTTCGTTGGAAATAAAGTAAAAAGAAAAAGTGCCGAGATATGGATAAAACGCTGATTTGAAAAAAATGATTTTCTTCCGAGATAAGTGCAAGGTGAGTATTATCAGTCGATGATAAACGGGATTACTCGGCGAAAAGGGCTCTTCGTTGAAGGCGAATGGACGACGTTGAGTCAGTCAACCACCGGTAATTCTCCTCGTAAAGCTCTTATAATGCCACTCGATTCGATTAAAGTCAGGGAGAAGCCACTCCGTGGACAAGCTTATCGCACGCCTACCGAAGATACGATTGACGGCTCGCCTTGTCTTTTATTATCTTGCATTTCTACACACATACGCATACGAATTACACGTATATACGTGTACGATGTTTACTGAAATCTTACGATACAATCGGAAATTTTTTTTAAAACGAAAATTAATTCCAAGTGAAAATAAAGGTTACTACGTGGTACGTCTTCGAAAGAGTCTCTCAGTGGTTCTCATTCACTCGAGGATTTATACAATACCATTTTAATATTATTCCAAGTGGAAATTACGATTTATAGGGACTTGTTGAGAGCATCGATGAGAAGCGACAGATGTTATCGATCGATAAGAACAATCATTAAACGACATTTCCAATAATCGAAAATACATACATAATCGTAAATAAGTATGTAGTAAGTTCGACGATCGCCGTAAGATGTAGAACAAAAGAGATTACAAATTCATTAACTCTTCTGGGAATAAGATACATATAATAATGGTGCTGATAAAATCGTTTATATTCGAAGAAGTTAACGATAACGATTAACAAGAGATATATATAATCAAAGATATGACGTGGTCTGTCAACAACGAGGCGATTAAAGGCGTAGAATTTTTCGTGTTATTCGACATTTCGTTTGATAAAAATATTTAAAAAGATATCGCAGATTGTACTTATGAATATATAGATAAGTAGATTGATTGCTAACGATATGATGTTTAACAGAAATGATTAGAATTCTTACTTAGATAATCAATAAACATATGATAAAAAAATATATATATATATATGTATTGTAGCTATGTGAACTTTATGCTATAAATTATTAATCAATATTACGATATACTATATATAAACTGTAAAGTATCCTACCATATAATTACACAGTATTACATAGTATATACTTTACAATACATTTCGTATTCATCTCGAAATATTCTAATAAATATAATATCGATCGATTAATAATGCATTATTCCATTAATTTTTATTATTTATAATCGTTCGTGTCTCTTATTTCTCATCTTTTCTCATATTTTCTTACATACATTCGTACGTAAGTACGTACGTATATAGAAAAGGTCTTGGAGGTGCCGAGAGAGAGAGAGAAGGCTCTTTTCGAGGAAATAATTGCGGAACACGAGCTAGCTGGCCCTCCGCACCGGCATTTAATGACGGTATTCACAACGCGTACTACGGACAGTCGTTATCCTCGATTTATGGGCCGGTCTGCTCTGAATCCTTATGCGGCGTTTGGCTAGCTGTGTAGTATAGGTATTGGTTGGATAGGGGTGCGGTGGAGAAAGAGAAAGAGGTGCTGATGGTGCTGGTGGAGGTAACTGTGAGAGTCCAGTATGGTCGTTACTCTCCATTTAGAGTGGCGCCTCCATCGAGATCAATTTTAGTCGATCGTCATGGGGCCACGGTGCCACGGATAGAAACTCTCTCTCTCTCTCTCTCTCTCTCTTTCATCGTACACGTACACGCACACACATTTAGAGTTCCTCGACCCTTTTTTCCTACACCATATGGAATCTTCGTTCTTTGAAAATTCCTTTCGCTAGTTCATTATATACCGGTTTATCAAGATTTAACGTTATGGACATACGAGTTAGATATATAACAAATTACACTTGTTAGGTTGTTCGTTAAAATCTATGAACGTCAATAGAGCAAATTCTCTCTCTCTCTCTCTCTCACTCTACTTATCTATTTATTTATCTTTTTTTTTTTTTCTTTGACTTACCTTTCACAGAATAGTAAAGAAATCATTGGCTCTTTTAAAACCGAACGTGCGAGACTCGACGCTTTAAATGCGCGTCTGGAATTCTTAACGAGATCGAAACTTTAATTACTGTTATCTCTATATCTCTCTCTTTCTCCCTCTCTTTCTTTTTCTTTCTTACACGTTCGTCGCAATATAAAGTGGTGTATGCCAGTCGAGCGCTCGTGAAACGCCTTGAACTCGAAAGTTCCAAGGACGAGCGAACTTGCTCGTTTTATTGACGACTCCCATAATCATCATCATCATGACCATCCGCATCCATATCACTATAACAGTTGCCCATTATAATGGGCGAATAATAATTCCGGCCGCCATTCTGTTTACATATTTTTTTTTTCTTTTTTTTTTTTTTAATCCTTCGATCATACCGTTCTTTTTTTCTACATTTCTTTTTTCGAGTTTGATATTTTCGTTTTGCTTTTATTTTTATTTTATATAATTTTTTCCTCTCTCTCTCTCTCTTTTTCAAGGGAGTCGTATGTAGTTTCCATAATATATGTGTATTTTACGATAGACTTTCCAAGGAGCGTAACGTGGTTACGTAATACCTCTCGGAATGCTCGGCTAATAATGGCATGAATATGTAACGCGTGCATGCCCCAGTATCGACACGTGCGCCTTATTTTTGTACATACGCGTATATCCCACATACATACATATGTACGTACTTACATATGCGGCAAACGAGCGAGAGAAAGAGACAGATAGATAGAGAGAGAAAGAGAGTAGTGGGAGAGGGGGTACGATCGAAGAACGATAGAAATTATTGAACACATACCTGTAACATACTTCTTCCTTGTGAGTTTCCCTTTCACCTAAATATTTGAACTTGCTAGACGATTTTAAATTAATTTTCTCTTTCTTTTCTTTTTCTTCTTGTTTTTCTTTTCTTTTTTTTTTTTTTCCTTTCCTTTTCTTTTTCTTTATACTACTCAATCGTGCAAACAGTTAACAAATCTACACGCTCACTTACACGCGTATAGACCGTTTCTTTATCACCGTGACAGTCAGGCTATTAAATGTTCAGACATTTAAATGACATATAGAAACATAAAGACTTCGCTTGAATTATACTTAGAATTATTTCTTCGTATTAGAAAAGAAAAACCAAAAAGGAAAATAAATAAAAAAAATTGCAAGGATTAAACAAAATTGAAGGATTAAGAAAAAACGAAACAAAAAAAAAAGATTGAAAAAGTAAAATAAAAGAAACGAAAAGAATTGACCGGAGGAGTACTTCGAAAAATTGTAATGTAAAAGATAGGTGAGATAATACGAAAAAATTTCTTTTCCCCTTTTAATCGGAACGAAAATATTTACCGTCTTTCTTTCTTTCTCTCTCTATCTATTTATCTCTTTCTCTCTTTTTGAAAGAGGACGAGACTTCATTTAATTAGGCAACGTAAACATTTACCACGATATTCCTTTTCCTCCTTGTGCCCTCGCTCGCTCGCTCGTCATTGTTATTCCTTCTATCTTCTCCAGACTTTCTCGAGGGTTCAAGAGAAAATTTAACTCCGAGGTCCTTCGTCAGTATTAACGTTCCCTGTGTCTGCCAATGTTTAAGTTCACGTACATACGTACACATCTACGTAGCTAAGTACCTAAGTATTTAAGTACTTTACGCGTATCGCAACGAGTTTCTTTCGTTTCTCATTACTATAATAACGTGGAAATAAAAAAAAAAAAAAAAAAAAAAAAAAATGAATGGTTTCGAATGAGACATACTCTTACGAGGAAGTATTTGTTGTATTAAAAGAGAAGGCGTGGCGTGGCTAGGGATGAGGGAATAGGAGTATTGTAAATGCGAAACGTATATAAACATAAAACCAAATGGATACCTCTATATTATTATAGATAAATATTCTTAATTTTATTTAATAATTATTATTTAAACGTAATCACATCGCAAATACTTTATGTTCTGATAATATCCTTGTTAAAACGACAATAATATTTTTTCTAATAATAATAAAAATAAAAACTTACGATCTAAATAAATATGTTATGGTAATCGTCGACGTGTTAAAAACATGACTTATAAATCGTAAGTTTACCAGTCTACATATCTATTCTATCTACGTACTTACGTATCTATGGTATATACGTATCATAAATAAATGTTAAACTCGTGCAGGAGGTGCATCAGAAAGGAGTTGTACGAATTTAGAACACGCAACCGCGTGTTCTAAGCAGTCAAAGCGTAACGTTCTCTCGTGTAGCGCCGCGATTAGACACGCCATAGACTTCTTAGAAACCGGTTTTCGCCATCCTCATTTCTACTTCCCTTTTTCTTTTTTCTTCTCTCTCTCACTCTCTTGGATTACCATCTCCATAATTTTTCTTTTTTTTTTTCCTTTTCTTTGCTTTTTCTTTTCTTTTTCCCTCCTTTGCAAATCGACTTTAAAGCGAACGAGTGAAACGGGAAATCGTTTGGTCCGGAGTGGGAGATATTGAACTTGCTGCTGGCAGAAGAAGAACAGTTTCCTTCCTCTTCGACACGACAATCCACGAACTTTCACCCTTACGTAACTTCCTGAAAATCTAATACCCTTTGTTCTTACTCAGATCAAACTTTGTGAATGAGTTGACTTTTTTTATATTACAATACCATCGTGAAACGGGTCGGTCACACTCCTTTATCTTCGAGGTACATTATTATAGAGAAAATTATTAGTGGAAACTTTTTTCTTCTTTTTTTTTTTTTTTTTTTTTTTTTTTTCCCCTTTTGATCGTTGAATTTACTCGACGAGATAAAATAAATTTATCGTAAAAATTTTGCGCAATTTGTGTACGTCGTAAAACTGTTTTTTTTTCTTTTTTTTTTTCTCTTTTTTTTTTTTTTTTTTTTTTCTTTTTTTTTTTTTTTTTTTTTAATATCTTACGATTACTGTGTTTTCTTCTTCCTTCTTCTCTTCTCTTTTCTTTCTTTCTTTTTTCTTTCTTTTCTTTTTATTTTTTTTATTTTTTTTTTTTTTTTATTTTTACATCGAACGTCTCCAATTGGCCACTTTGCTCGACAATGTAGGGCAAAGCGGCCATCAAGCAGCCACTTGTTTTTTTCTTCTTTTTTTTTTTTCGGGGAAAGTTAATGCAACAAAAACACAAGTTTACAAGAACATATATTATTTATGTTTCGAAGTATAATATTAACGAGAGAAATCTTGATAAATGAGGGCGGGAGATAGGATTGAAAGGAAAGATAAGAATAAAGAATTATTTATTTCTATTTTATAAAAAATATATATATTTTTTTATTTTCTTTTTTTTTTTTTCCAACGTTCATATAAATTTTTCCTGTTTCATTTAATACCAGACGCTGATGAAATAAAAGTTAGAGAGAAGAGGAGAAATGGATAAGGAGAGGAAGAAAAGAGGAGAGAAGGAATGGGAAAGGGAAACGGATGAAACTATCTGGAAGGGGTCAGTGACAATCGTTTTGTGTATATTCACGATAACGAAGACTCGGTCAGAACGTCCTCATTAGCGTAATTAAGTCGACCGATCCTACAGTGAATAGTATCTTTACCTCTCTCTCCCTCTGTCTTTTTTCTTCCTTCACGTTTCTCTAACATATGATGACAGAGAGAGAGAAAGAGAGAGAGAGAGAGAGGGAGAGAGAGAGAGAGAGAGAGAGAGAGAGAGAGAGAAATAGAGAGAAAGTACATACTAGGAAAGAAGAGATTTAGCGTGTAAGTGAAAGAGGGAAGAAGAAGGACCCTCTCTGTTAGAATAGAGAGCGAGAGAGAGGAAAGCCTTCGGCACACTCACCGAGTCTCGGTGGTTCTCTCGAAGGCAACACAACCGGTTTACAAAGTTGGGTACGTTCGTCGTAACCGACTCTCTCAACGTGTCCACACATAGTCATTATACCTACGTCGAGCTCTCTATCTCTACTCTCTCTCTGCCTCCTTCCATCCCTCTCTCTCTCTCTCTCTTTCTCTCTCTCTCTCTCTATCTATCTATCTATCTATCTATCTATCTATCTATCTATTCCATTACCCCTCTACCATCCTTCCTTCTATCCTTCCTCTATCTCTGTCTATCTTTGTATGCGTTCGTGGGCGTGTACGCACCAGTATTCGGAGTAGGGGACCTCGGGAGAGAGAGAGAGAGAGAGAGAGAGAGACGGATAGATAGGTATAATGAGAGAGAGAGGGAGGGAGGAAGGGAAGGGTAAGAGAGAACTGCGGCGGCCTAGCTTGTGACTACTTCTTGAATAATGCATGCCAGCCGCGAGCCCACGCCACGATACTATATACGAAGATGCCAGACAGGCTACTCGGAATTGTACGCTTGTATGTATCTATATGGGCACACGGACGGTGACGGTAAATGGAAAGAGAGTGAGAGCGAAAGAGAGAGGAGAGAGAGAGAGAGAGAGAGAGAGATACGGATAACTGATATGTGTTAGATTCTCTATACGAGTGCGTAGGCTTTGAATCGTCTATATGCAGGCACTAGTTTTGTGTTAGCAGCGTGTATGTGCAGCCGCGAGTGTGTGACTATGTACCTCATTTATCTATCTGTCTATCTATCCATCTATCCATCTATCTATCTATCCATTAGATACGAGTTGAACGTACAAGAGTTTGTGTATCGATACATATGTAAGCTTGTTATGTTTGCAAGAAAATGTTGTCAACAATGATGCAATTTTTTTTATGTATTTTTTAATCTCTCTGTCAAGCAACAAATTATAAATTATCATGAAATTCATGATGTCACGTAGGAATTTTAATTGTTCAACGATGAGACGATGATCGGGGTCGAATTTTTCAAATGAAGAAAAAAGAAAAAATGATTTATAACAGAATAAAATCCCAACGGTAGTCTCTAGAAACAACACGAATAAAATTTGCAATTCGCGAAAGCGAGGTTAACTTCTCTCTAATAATCTCGAATCTCGTGGGAGCGAAACGATTCTCGCGTGTAACGGTGCATAAGGTAAAGGTATGCTTTCGCACTTTCTCGCGATTCGAGTCGAGCGATCATCATCGCATTTATCGTTCTCTTCCGTTCGAGAGTGTGAGCAAGATCAAAGCAAGTAAAAAAAGAAATAGAAAAATAAGAAGAAGAATAGTTTGTGAAAAGAAACTCTCCAAAGGAAGACTCGCTCTTCTTCGGTCATGCTATATCACATATATACACATACACATACACACACACACACACATAGAGAAAAACACATTTTCACCATATTTCACAAAAGAAATCTGATCGATCGATATCGAATTATTTATAATATTTTTTCTTCTGTATCAAGATGAAAGTCAATCGAAATTGATTATAATCTAAAATACAAATTTACATATTATTATTATTATTATTATTATAACTTCGTAATAATGTTATGATTTTAGTCTATAGAAATAATGTTATGGATTTAATCTAATGCATGGTTTTTTTTTCTCTCCTCTCTGTTCACAGGTAAGAAAATTATTCAGAATGATTCACCGAGCAAACTTTCGAACGAGACGGATGTCCGGCAAACGTCTCGTAAGTCACTTTAACGATCTTTTATCGAAAGTAAAGGAGAGTGATGGAGAGAGATAGGAGATAGATATAGATATAGCGATAGAGGACCTATGTATAATAGGATTTACATTTTGGAATGGTTCAGTAAAGACATCGTAGTCTCTCTCTCTCTCTCTCTCTCACAGCCTTGAAATAACTTGAGACTGCTCAACCTTATCGAATTTCGCCGATGATGCTGGTGCAAAGTGTAACAGTATATCTTCCGTGCATCATCGTTTCTAACTCAACCATTTCCTCTCTTCCTCCACCGTCACCACCATTACCATTTACCGCCCACGTTCCTCGGAGTCAGTGAAAAAAGATGCAAACCTTAGCTACTTTCAGTAACCGTCCAGGAAGCAACCGTCCAGTGGAGTCCGATAAAAAAAGAAGAGAAAAGAAAAAAAAAAAAAGAAACCGACATTTTGCTTTATCAGGAACGAAAGTTGATAAATGATAGTAGGGAAAGAGAATCGTGTCGACATCGGACATAGTAAGCTGTAAAATGAATCCTGCCTAACGCAACTGATTTTTTAAGATTATTCATCCTCGCAGCACACATGGATATGTGTGTTCAAAAATTTGATGAATTTAACATTGATATTATCAATCGATACAAGAATGTATGTGTGGAAATGATCGAGGAAACGATAAAAAGAAAAAAAAAGAAAAAAGATTTCCGACAATGGCTACTAGCAAGAGTGGTTAAAGCAAACGTGGACGAAACCAGCTGGCCGGGTTCTTCGAGTTTACACGATGGTGATAAATTATTTATCTCGCTTCGTCTGGCTGCTTGCCAAGATCTCCCGTCGTCTTGGGTGTATCTCTCTCTCTCTCTTTCTTTGGAACATCCACCGGTTATCCTATTTATACGTCAACTCGAAACTAAGAACCAAGTCCAGTATTTCCCATCTTCGTTGAATTCTTTCTTAACAGTAAAACTATTATATTCTAGTGTGTGCGTTTGTGTGTGCACAAAAAGAAAAAGAAAGAAAGAAAAAAAAAAAAAAAAAAAAAAAGAAAAACTAAAACTAAACATCAATTTTCGTAATTGATAGATCTATTATGAGAATTAATATCTTTCAGTTAAATTTCGAAATACTATGAAATTATTATTATTGTATAATAAAACTCTTAGGAACGAAACTTAATCAATTCGAAAATATAAGTTACCATTTTCTCTCTGTATTTATATATGTATGTATGTATGTACGTTTGTATATATATAATACGTACGTACGTATCTACCTATATACGTCTACTCTGTGTGTGCGTTCTACAAGTTTACGTGTACGGTCACGCGAAGCTCAAGAGAGAATCTGGGTTACAGTACGCTCGATAGAAATTGAGGTTTCCATTGGAACTAGTTTAGAAACGCAATTCCATAGAACTCGCTCGATGATCCTTTAAATGACGTGCACTCCATATTTCCTTTCGAACGAGCAAAATCATCATGATTGACCATTATTATAACGATGATGATGCTGACGGTGATGACGATGATGATGATGATCATCGTGATCAACGAACCTTTCCCTTTCGATCAGAACAATGCCACTCCTTCGTTATTTCTCGGACTCTATTCTCGGTCTTTCGAGACTCAAGAAAATGTTGCTGAGAGTTCGTAGAATCGACGTAGACTTTGCCGGCATGTTCATCTCATCGGTCGTTGCATTCAACAGAGAGAGAGAGAGAGAGAGAGAGAAAAGAGCGTGTGTCTGTCTCTGTGTGTGTGTGTGTGTGTGTGAGAGAGAGAGAGAGAGAGAATCTGTTCCTTCAAGCGCACTCTCGCATGGCGCTGCTGCCCACGAACGTTATACCTCAATTACTCGACTCGGTGTATTGATCCGGCGGTTTGCAGTCCCACGCTTTGCAGAGTCGCCCGTCTAAGCGGCCTTCTCTCTCTCTTCTTTTTTTTTAACCTCTCCCTCGAGTCATCTCTCTTTCTCTTTTTCTCTAACGTCGAACAAACGCACCCTTTCGAGTCCCACTCGTACGAGCGTGAGGAGAAATTCCATGCGAAATTCATTAAAGGAATCTCAAATGCAAAAATCTATCCTTCTTTTCTTTCTCCGAGATGAAAAGAAATGAAGAGAGAGAGAAAGAGAGAGAAAGAGAGAGGTAAAGAGTAAGAGGTAGATGGAAAGAGGTTGAAGGTTGAGTATAGAGATTGAAGGAGAAAGAGCAGAAAAATAGAAAAAAATAGTAAAGAGATATAAAAAAGAGAGAAAGATTGTTATATCAACGACGTTTAATACGTCAGTATGTTTGTGTTTTGTTACGTCACGTACAGGGAAATGCATAGAGTCTCGACCCTGAGACACGTGGAATGGCGGAGCCGCGAGAAACATCTACTATATATATATATATATACTCATTTTATATATATATATGTATGTATATGCGTATATGTGTGTATATACATATATACGCGCTTTTATAAGTATATATAAACATTACGGGACCGCGGCAATTATCCGGGACTTTCCTTTTGCACCTTGCCTCCCGTTCTCTCTCTCTCTCTCTCTCTCTCTCTCTCTCTGTCTCTCTCTCTATCTTTTATATATTCCATATTATCAGGCGAAAGAGAGAAGCACAGGTTTCTCCTTCTCCCTTCAACGCTGCAGTTCTTCGTCCGTCGGAGAAACGAGATACGAACCACGGTTGTTGCCTTTAAGCCGCACTCGTGCGTGTACAGGATTGCAGTGAGAGAGTTGCCCAAGTAGAAGAAGGAAGGAAACAGCGAGCGAGTGAGTGGGATAGAAGGGAGATAGTGGAGAAGGTGGTTGTGGAGGTGGTTGTGGAGGTTGAGGAGGAGCTGTTGGAGAAGTAGGAGGAAGAGGAGGAGGAGGAGGTTACAACTGGGGTTTAATGAAACTAGTCGAGGTCCGTCAAACCGGTTGAGCTGGTTCCCTACGTTTGCCACGTCGTCCTCTCGTCGTTCGTTCTGCTACTCCCTCTTATCTTCCTAAGAGAGAAAGAGGGATATGGAAGAGGATTGGTAAGAGAGGAGAAGAGAGAGCCAGAACAGGGCTGTCGACCTCTCTCTCTCTCTCTCTTTCTTTCTACTTGCTTCTCATACAACCATTTCGCTCTTGTACAATACTCTCGAAGCTGCATATCCGAAGCACAGATCGCCCGACTCTCCTATCTCTCTCTCTCTCTCTGTGTATATGTTTGTGTGTGAAATCCCCTTAACCGAGAGAATACACCCACGGCGACTGGGACGAGAATTATGGGGGGAGAAGAGGAGAAACGGAGACTCGATGTATCCGCCCCTGTTTGATAGTCCCGTCGTGATATAAACTCACTGGGGAACCCACCCTTCTATCTCTTTCTCTTTCTATCTTTGCACTATACAGAAAGAGAGAGAGAGAGAGAGAGAGAGAGAGAGAGAGAGTTCGATGGAAGGAGATAAAAGCAGCAGAGAGGAAGAGAAAGCATTCTCAAAGTTTGTTTCGTCTGATGGTATGCGTCTACTCGAGTGTGTCTCTACTGCTGTTTCCTGTGGAATGCGTGGGTGAATATCGTTGTATGTATACGTTGCACCTTGAGGGTGCGCCATCTCCTGACCCACTCGACGGGATCATCGGCCCTTTTTACATTTTCTTTCTCTCTCTTTTTGAATTCCTTTTCTCCTTCCTTCCTTCCTTCCTTCCTTCCTTCCTTCCTTCCTTCCTTCCTTCCTTTCTTTCTTTCTTTCTTTCTTTCTTTATTTCTTTCTTCCTTCCTGCCTGCCTGTCTGCTTGTCTTTAACTCTTCGCTTTTACTAGTCATCCACTCTTCCGCTTATTCCAGACACGTTTCTAGGTGAACGTTATATTCGAAAGAGGAAACTGACGAAATAATAGCTAAACGTTTGTTAAATACATAATCTTCGTTCGTAGTTGAGAATATGCGCATGGCAACTCGAATTGGATAATTGGATAATTAAGATCGTAATAATTTTTGAAATTTATTCGATAACGTGGTCGAAGATAATTTTTATTAATGTTATAATCATATTTGGGTAATAACATTTTGTGGTAGAACTTTGAGGTTTTGCTTGAGGTTTGACGTTTAGGTCACTGAACGAAGTATCTCAATTTTGTAAATAGTTATGTGTGTATGTGTGTGTTTGTAAAATATCGTACATAAACAGACATTAATAATTGAGATTATATTAATTTTTTTATTTTATTCAATTAAAAAAATTTAATAGTAACTAACGATTGTCATATAGAATTAATTATATTAATTCTTTTAATTCGCCGTATTAACATAGGGACAAAGAATTTGCATTACTTATATCGTACTATATATCTGAAAGGTAATTTAAAAAAAAAAAAAAAAAAAAAAAGGAAAAGAACTTTGAAATTAAACGTTGTCAGGAATGTGACCAATGACAATGGGGTTGACCGCCAGGTCACTGGACGAGAAGGCTCTCGATTTTGTAGGTATATCTTTCCTTTTTCTTCGTCATCCTTTTTCTCTTCTTATATATGTATATAACAATCTACCGAGGATGCGTATATGGGGTGGTTAGAAAGAGAGAGAAAAAAAATCTAAACGAGATGCTAAGCACGTACATGCACATGTCTCTGTCTCTCTCTCTCTCTTTCTCACTCTCTTTTTATTCTTTTTTCTTTTTCTTTTCTTTCTTTTGCTGCCTCTCTCTCTCTCTCTCTCTTTCTTGAAGAGAGGCATGACTAGCTTGCCGAGTACGGCTATCCGCTATGCGTCGACGGCCCACCTAGATGAAAGCACAATGACTCACCGGCTTCGAGGAGAGTCACGGAACTCGCCCTTCGTACACCTTCGCTTCCGGACATGATCGATTCCGATGATAGTTTACTCTTTCAACAATAGTGCTAGATAATATCCTTAGTTCATTCGATATTTTTGCAACTACAATCGAATGGATAGAACCAATGTCCTCAATGTCATAATCATATGACGATATATGATTCGAAATAAATAGAATGATCGAAACTATTTTTTCT